CCCCCCCCCCCCATTTTGTCTCTCATAGTTGAGGTATACCTATGATGAAAATTACAGGCCTCTCTCATCTTTTTTAAGTGGGAGAACTTGCACAATTGGTGGCTGACTAAATACTTTTTTTCCCCACTGTAGTTCTGTTGTATTTGCTTCCAACTCTGTCTTGTTAGGACGGGGACATGCCAAAGCTCCTAGTTTTCGGGTCACCCTAAACACACTGAAGGAGTTATGTTCAGTTACTCCTGTTAGCAGAAGCCTGGTATGAACAACTGAGAACAGTTCTGAACATACAGCATTACTGTACTGCTTTGCAAACAATATCAACATTAAACAAAAACAAAAAACCCTATGTAACCCTTGCTCAACAGCTTGAATACAACCAGTGCAAGTCTAAGCATTTGCTTACTGTATTCCATCAATAGGCTTTGGAATTTCTGAAAAATTATTTAAAATCAGATTGTTGTTTTTAAAAATAATTTTCTAACCTCTAGCTTGTGCTTGAATCTGTATAAATGTTTATACAGATAAAATCAGCCAACAAATAATTCAGCTGATACTAAATGATTACCTTAATTCCACGCAAGGTCCTCTTGGTAGCTGATTTAAAATCTGAAATAATGAAGGCTACTAGGTAAGTGCTCATCTTTACACTGATGTCGAACTGGTCTTCAGTAAGCCATTCATTAATGTTTACTGATTTCACCTAAAATTTAAAAACACAATTACTTTTTGCCTCTAGTTGAGAATTTTAAGATTGTTCAGAATTAAGAATTAATTCTGTACAAACTCTCTCATTGCACAAAGCATTGATTACAATAACCTTACTCTGTTAGAAAATCTTTTTTTGGAGCAAAGGCTATAATTCCCTTTTGAAGGGCCACTAAAATGTATGTTACAAATGTATTTCTATGCAACTCATTAATAGTTATGCATTAGTATGTCCTACAGAGCAATTCTATCCAAATTTACCCAGAAGAAAGCTTCATTAAGTTAAACTGGACATCTTTCAAGAAAAAGATTAAAGTGTTGCAACTCAAAACAGGAAAGGATGCCATTTTTGAGGATATAAGTAACCTGGATTTCAAGCTTTTCTTACTTTTTTCAGTATATTAACATTGAATTTTCTATTCTGATATGATGCAAACATTTTGTGCACAATATATGTACAAACTCTTTATACTACAGTCTTCTTTTAAAAACTATTTTTCTTTCTTTTATTCTGCCTACTAAAATATGTAAAGTATACATATACCAAAGGCATATTAGATAGTGCTAGGTGCTTTGGGTCTCTTCTGATCTTAATAGCAAATGTTGCTTTTAATGCAGGTTCATCAAAGCAAGGAAAGGCCGTACGTGCAGCTGTTGCCTCAAAATGTGTTGATGCAAGCACCCTGGAATTAAGAAAAGAAAAATAGATTACATTTAATCTGATCATGCATGTAAACATACATAGTAAAATGTTTACTAGTGCACATTTCACCTCAGCAATATAATTTACCTTATATTTTATTCATCAGAAAAAATTATAAAACATCACCATTAATAGGCAAGCTTACACGTTTTTTTGGAAATAGGTTCCTCTGCTTAGTGGGCTGCACTCTCAGATTCATGTACAGAAGATTATAGTCTGTATCATAACCTGCTTTTCTAGAATTTACAATTTGAAAAGCTTCTCAGATTGCCTGTCTAATAATGGATTTGTTTTTATACTGGATTCCTTGGTTAAAGATATTCCAAATATTTATTTTTTGGGGAAAAAGATATACTTGAAAATAAATAAGCAATTCTAGAATACTGCATATACTCCTTTATGAACTACCATTAAGCTGAAGGAAGAAGAATGATCTCTCTACCAGAATAAGTTTACCATTGTATGACAATGTGCTATGGCAGAAAGGGGCAACAAAATCAATGTCCCAAATCTATTTCAGAAACAATTACATGAATATAGCAAGGGAGAAACTACTAGTCAGTAACAGAAGACCTACTTTGCATACAGTAGAACCCAAATTCTGAATTTAAAGTATCCAGGTACCACTATGGTAATTGAAATGTTAAGGTAAATTTGAATGTCATATTGTATTGCCTTATCATAATATAAGAAGTATTGCGTCTGGACCTTGGAAAATATTTATTGGAACCTTCTGGGGCATATTTGCTAGGCAATTTGAAGAAAATTCCCTAGCATTTTACCAAAGAAGATGTCTTATTATCTGGTCCTATTTGGGGAATTAGTTTTCAGTTGTTTTAACTTAAAGATGATGAAAATGATTGAGATATTACACAGCCACCAGTATCCTCAGCCATTGACCAACTGGGTTTCATACAGAGAACTAAGTTAGATAAGGTGGGTTCAGGAAGTTACACAGGTTTTGTTTAAAGCATTAAAAGAGGTACTGTGAGATCTCTTCTTAAAAAAATCCTAACTGAAGCTGGCAAACTGTAATAACTATCATCCACTTACAAATACTTTCCTTTGGAGCAAAAATCACCAAGATCAATTTCAATCCATGTTCAGGCCAGAGTCTCGCACTGAAACAATTATCCTGATGATCCTGTTGATTTTCCTGGATTTCAACACACTTAATAAAATCAACCATAGTATTTTACTAGTTCAGGTTAGGAGATATGGTGATTTATACTCAACCTTATGGCAGCTGAGTTGTAGCAACTCCACTGGGTACTATCTTATCTCACATATCTCTTTAAAATCTGTATGAAATCATTATGTGAGATAATTGAAGGATTTAGGGTAAGGCCCTTCAGTTTGTAGTAGGCACCACTTTTAATTGCATTTTGTCATCATTCAGGTGAGGCAACTGTAATGTTGTACTACCATCATGATTTGTTAACAGCCTAGATGGGATTAATTAACTAATGCTAAATCTGGTAAGATTTGAGGTACTATTGGTTAATAGTAACCTTCTTCTAATCTCTGAGTTTTTTGGTGGGGTTGCAATCATCCTGAAGGAATATTGAGCATCTTGTGGATGCTTCTTGATCCAGTATTTTCAAGACTCCCAAGAAACCTCAGTTTCATGAGACCATCCTTGAAAACAGCACAGATACTAGAACTACTACAGAATTTAACTGCTAGAATTCTAGAGGCTTATCTAGTTTAAAATATGTTAACCAGTCCTACCTAACAATCTGATGTTTAAATAATTTAGATCATTGAAAAAAAAGAGAGAAGTATTATATCAGTATAATGAGAGAAAAGAAAGAAAAAGGCTTATTTAAGCCACATATAGGTACAAATGTGAGTGGGCTGCAGATACATTTTTAGAATAAACAAATAAATAATAGAGTTAGTGGTGCTAAATTTAAAGCACTAAACAATTTGAGGGCTAAATATCTGAAGAAATCCCTCTTTCCACATGTTTTACTCTTCACCAAGATAATCAGAGATGAGGTTTTTCTTATTCTTTTTTTAGGAACAATGAATTATGCCTATTCTTTCAAAATAGGCATATTTTTCTGTTCCACTGCCCTGTTTTTGGAATGCTTTCCTAAAAGGAGTATATCTGGTGCTGCCCCATTATTTCTTTTCTGATGCCAGGTTGCTTTCCTCTCAGTTTTACTGTAATTTTTTTAAAAATATTTTTTCTGCTTTTTAATGGAATTAGTCTTCTAATTTTATATATATTTTAGATGCATTTTTCCAATGATAGTATTGTTTTGTAAGAATTCATAAAAGCTGTAAAAACTGGATTTTACAAATCCTCAGTCAGTTGACTTTAGATGCAATGGACAAAATCTGAGTTTGTACATTTTTCATATATAACATAAAGTCTACATTTTAGGCACATTTATGTAAATTATGTAAAATACATTAATTTACATGATGTATGTAAAACTATTAAAATGCACAATATTTACATATGTTATATGATTTCAGATTTAATTCACCTTTGACTTTTTTGGATATCCGTTTCCCCACAAGTACTCCTTAAAATCAGTGTTTTAGCATAAAAGCCAAATAAATGGCAGCCAAAAATTATATACATTTAAAATAGAATGGTTTCTCTTTCATAAGAAAGCCACCCCAAACCATCCACCAGTCTTTCAAATTGAACAAATACATTTCTAAGAATAGTTTTTTTTTAATGTGTTAGATTAGCCAATTCAGCCATATTTGTACCGTAATGTATGATATCTTCTTTAGCCAGAAAAGTAAAATAGCTCCCCACAGTCTTTCATTATGTAAACAACATAAAAGCCAGAAAAACATATAGGTAGTCCTTGACTTACAGCAGCACTTGGGACTGGAATTTCCATCTCTAAGCGATGTGGTCATAAAGTGCAACTTCATCCCTTAGTGACAGCAATCCCTGCAGTCCTGGTTGCTGTTGTAAACCGAATCCCACACTTGTTAGGCGAGGCAACTTCCTGCCGGCTTCCCACAACCAAAGTCAGTGGGGAAGCCAGCAGGCAGTTGCAAGACCCAGGCTGGCAGGCAGGTAAGTGGCTGCTGCTGGATGGAGGAGGGAGTGTGGGGCGCTGTTGGGGAGGGTGTGCAAGGGTGCACGAGAGGCATGGCATGGGTCAGGGAGGGTGTGTGAGAGGTGAAATGCAGGTTGGGAAAATTATATACCCAATACAATAAATCAGTGTAATATAGAACTTACCTTATTTCCCCTTCAAGAGTTCTGTATGTGCTTTTATAGAAACCATGAAAACTGTCAGATAAATTAGCAGAGTACTCAATGCTAATAATGTAGCTGTGTCCAACTTGTAGAGGTTCAGTAGAAACAAGTGCTATCTGCTCAAATGTTGGGTGTTCTAAAACCATCATTCCTTTAGCTGTATCAACACTGTCGTTTGCTTTGTGGATAGTAGTTTTGGTGATGTGAAGATATTTGCTGTGGAGGATGACTGAACTAGTTTGCTGGGTTATTAAAATCTCTATTTTGGACAATCCAGTAAAAGACAGAGTTGTGAGATTTGGATGAATAAGAAGATCATAATGAATTGGAACAACGTGCTTTGGAAGTCTAATTTTATTCCAAGGAAAAGGATTGCTTTCATCTCTGGCAAGTGAACATGATGTCTCACTATAGCATAGAAAAATTAAAATGCTTAGCAATAAGAACATTTTACTCTTCTTCAATGTAAAAATCTGAGCAGGAAACAGCAATCTGATGCCAGGTTGTTATGGGATCCAGAGTTAGAAATCTAATAAAAAAAAATCAGTAAATTGAGACAATATAATCACATTTTTATGAAATATTGACTGTCATCTATATGGTATGGGTTTCAAAAATGTTACTCCATATACTCTATCAAACAGGCTGTCTCAAAGAGTATATAATTTAGTGAACTTAAGATTGTTAAAATGGCACCTTTACATTAAAATATGGGTAACTAATCTAAGGCAAATTACTTTCTTATTCACTTTTCTTAAAGTGTAAATGACAAGTCTTTACTTGTTAAAACACGGGAACATGTATTTTTAACTACTGGGAAAAGAAAAATATCTTCAAAATGAAGCTTGAAAATATACCATATTATTTTCAAGCTTTGTTTAGAAGATAATTTTCTTTTCTCTGTAGTTAAAAACGTGTGGTGTCTGATTCAGAAACTAGAACACAAAACAAATATATGTTTGGATAGTACCCTGTCGTTTTGATGAGTCTGACTGAATTTGACAATACATATAGACTGCGCCATAAACAATTCTCCAGTGTGAATGGAAAAGAGGTTTATTAATTTGTAAGAGGTTGGACAGACCTTTCCAGACTCTTGAGATGAAAAAAATATGACAGCACGTGGTTTCTCTCATCTACTGTTGTACTGATGAGAAGAGTCTGACTGGAACTGCCCTTCCTTTGTAACTTTTACAACGTGCAGGTTATTATAGAACAGTAACAATCTGTTGAGGTTATGCATGTGGCAATTTCCATGCATGTTTTTTTTAAAGCACCTCAAACTTCTTATGGCTATAGCATGTCAGTTTACAAATGGTCCAGGAATATGGGTAACTAATCAGACATTGAGTGAGTCTGAGGCTCCTGCCTTGTACTTCATAAATAGTTAACAACAGGAGATGATATGCAAATAGTCCCAATTGTGTGATTCATCCACCACAGAAAGAAATAGTTTAGGGCCCTGTTTCTCAACCTTGGCAACTTTAAGGTGTGTGGACTTCAACTCCCAGAATTCCCCAGCCAGC